GTGTTTTTTATATTTTATTTTTGAATTCGAATATTAATATCAATTTATTTAATTGACTTGATTTCTTGAGAACTGAAATTGAAGGCGGGTTACATGGAAGTGTAGTACCGAATTATGTGGTGGCGAAACGGAATATATGATATCGAAATAATTTAACGTGATCACACCAAAGTTAAAGGATAATTACTTTTTCAAAATCTCTAAAAAATCACGAAAAAGATATCTCATTACAAAAATTCTGAAATCGGGAAAATATCGAAAAAAAATTTCAATGGAATTGAATTTTAAAATAATAGTACATTTTATTGACAAACTTTGTAAGGATCTTTAGACATTTGCTGTAAAAAATCAGCGAAGAAGTTGAAGATTTTTTCAATTTGTTATTCTTTATTTGTCATTTTTTTCAATTTGTATTATTATATTGAATTTAGTGGATTTTTTGTGAACAAAATAAAGGATAATTTTTCACTATGTACAATTTTTCACCAAAAAAATGAAATAAGTGCGAAATACGATGGTAACTGACATGTACCTTTCAACTCCAGAGCCTACATCGTGCTTCAGCTGGAAGATGCGCACACATTTAAACAAACAAAAATGACCGAAAAAGACTAATGGGTCTCATTTCAAAGCGTGGACCTACTTCTTTCATTTGACAATAATCCGTCCAATGAGTGCTCAAAATGCAAAAGTTTTTGGGAGTAGAATCAGTAAAATACCAAATATAAAGGGTGCAAAATAGTAAAGCGAATGGGACTTTTAGAAAGAAAAGGATTTCTACTTCCAAAAATTCTTACCGAACATTTAAGATACCAAAAATCGCTTTTGCAGGTCATGATATCGATCATAAATAACCATCGTATGATTTCAGCTATTGTTGGGGTCTTCGCCACTTTCTTCTATTTTTGGGCCTTATTTGGCATCTTTGTTTCTAAGGGGGTAGAGAACCCCTTCGCATAAATTTTTCGGAGTAGGGCCAATATTGGTCTTAACCACATTCATCAATTGATTTGGCTAAAAAATTGTACTTACCCTGGGGTAAGGAACAATCATACAGATAATTGCTACATAGGAATTAATTTAAGTAAAGTCCCCAAATTGGAGTATCCTTAAGTCCACTTTCACATCTAATGTGTGGTCAGAAAAGAAAATTTTGTATTCTTTTGAATTTGTAACCCCCAAGAGAATATTGGTTGGGAACGTAAGTTTGAGATGTACATCTATATCAAATAAATTGTGAAAACATGAACAAATCACAAATATAAGAAAGTAGCACGGGACCGAATTTTTGTTGAATCGTCATTGAATTATACAATGATGAAAAATGTGGACTTTATGGGGTCTCCAATTTACAATTTAAATGACAAATAAAATTAGTTCCCATCTTACTGTAATGGGTGTAAAATAGTAATTATATTTGACTATGGCAGAAGTTCGCATTTTGTGTATTTCGGATACCGCCTGTAAGTAATGCTGGTATTTTTTCACACAAAATTAGTGGTCCATTGTACCCGATGTCCTAAATTCTAACTTTATGCGAGATTTCGTATCCTTTGGTTTCTATTTGTGACCTTTATAACGGCTGCAAAATCAGGAAAATTTTTAGTTGTTGGTCCATTTCAAGCCCTAATATATTGCGGGCATCTTTGAAAACAATAGGCCTAGCCCTTCTGAGCCCAACCCTACCCTTGTGATCATTATCGTGAGGATGGGACCATATTTTCAATACTTATATAATACCCCAACCTGTGTTGTAAGGTGAAAAAATATTACAAAATATTATAAGTCAAATTGAAAAAATCGCATGCGATAAAAAATATGAAAAAATAAAAAAAAATGTCACAAAATACTACAAAATCTATATTCACATCATTATTGGCTTATTTTTCTGCAATTTTTTTAGATTTTGTTCTTTTATGTCAAGAGGGCATTCTGATTTGACAAAATTTGTCAAAATCGGTCCAGCCATTCTTGAGATATAAGCATTCTAACTGACATCCCCTTCCTTTGTATATACAAATTGTATATATTTCGCTATATATAACCGATATATTTACTATCGGCATCTACGTAACGATCAGAATTGACCTGTTCGTCTATTTGTGATTTCGCTGGGATTTAAAATATTCGCGGTTTAATGGAAAATTTGACTTTTATTTAACACAAATGCTATGGTCTATTTCAACCACTAAATATTACCCTATGACCATCAAAATTGGAAGGCTTCTGCCTAGCCCTAAGCTCTAGCCACATACCAACTGCCGCGTCGATTGGTCTATAACTGCGACCTGCAGAGCAACTGCAAAATCAGGAAAATTCTCAGTATTTGGTCCATTTCAACCCCTAAATATTATGCGATTATCTCCAAAAGCAATAGGGTTCTATTCTGGCCTAAACCACCTCCATTCTAAATTTCGTGAAGATCGGGCCATAATTGCGACCTGTAGAGTGATTACAACTTAACATGGACAGACGGACAGACGGACGGACGGACATACATAGCTAGATCGACTCAGCTCGGCGAGATAGGAAGATCCATATATACTTTCCTATGTGGGAAACCAATATTTCGTGGTGTTACATAATTTTTGGCCCAATCAAACTTATAATACCCCCAACACATAGTGTTGTATAGTATAAATACCCAAGGTCTTTTTCGGCGACAAATTAAATTTCTCTCAATATTTATTTCTTCGATATTTTTGTACTGATGTTTTTCTCAACTATCCTTTAATCCCGATGTCTGAACTACGAGGTTAATTGTGACATTGCAATAGCATGTAATTGCATTTAAATCTCTTTATCATTCTATAAAATCTATTCCGATGACAATATTTGTCAACAACACATTCATTTTTTGCTCTTGTTGGCACGTCTATCTTTTGTTAGTTTCCAATCAATTCTGATAGCTTGTTGAGCTGCTATTCTAGTTTTTTCTGCTGTCACACATATTTTATCCTGTGATTTGTAACTAAATCGAGAAAAATAGAATATGACATATTCTGGGAATTTTCACAACACGAGTGAAGTGATGTATTTGCTTGATGGAGAAAAAATATATATCAATTAAATTAAATGCAAAATGGAACAGACAAATGCGCAATTTATTGAAATGGAGCATTTTACAAATTGGTATTTGTTTGATTTAGACGGAGAAAAGAGTTCAAATGAAATTTTCTCTATTTTTAAAGACCTTACATTTGAAAAAGAAACATGTCTCGCTTTAAGGAATATAAAGGGTGAGATGAAAAAACTGCAACCAACTTCAGACTGCTGTCATTTCTAAGCCACTAGTCCGACAGCTGTTAAAATTATTCCAGTGACAGCTCCAGTGACAGCATTGTTTACAAGTGTGCAAAAGTATTTTGATGAGAATTTTACAGAAAAAAGGTAATACGTGATGGAATTGAAGCGTGATAGTGCGATTTCTTTATATTTGGCTGGAAAACCACAAGTGGTTATCGTTAGAGCACTCCAGCATTTAAATGTGAATACATTTTTTGGGCCTCATATCATCGCTCGTTACCGTGATACTCGTAGCGTAGTCCGACGTCAAGGAAGTGGACGGAAGAAAATAGCAACATCAGCAGAAATGGTTCGAAAAGTAAAGAAGCGACATGATCGAAACTCGCGTCGCAGTGGCCGAAAAATGGCTCATGAGCCGAACATATCGCAAATATTGAAAAATGAGCTCGGGGTAAACCATTGAAATTCCAATAAGTGCAAGAACTTACACCGCTGCGGAAAAAAAATAGACTCAAAAGGGCTAAAGAGTTGTTTTGCTTGGCCGAAAGTGGTGTACTGCCGAATTTGGTTTTCTCCGATGAGAAAACATCCATTGTTCAGTCGTTTGTAAACAAACAAAATGGTCGTGTTTACTTGTCAAAGAGGTCAGCTGAAAATGTGCCACCTGAACTCAACCGCCGGTGATGGTGTGGGCCGCTATTACAGCCGATGATCGTTCTCCGCTCGTATTAATCGACCATGGCATCAGAATAAATGCCGAATATTATCGCGAAAATATTCTGGAGGGTGTATTAGAGCACGCAAACATTTTGGCCGCAGATCTTGGACATTCCAACAGCTCTCAACACCATCGCATTCAGCACGAGCCACCCAAGGATGTTTACAAAATGAGGTTCCTCGCTTCACCAAAATCTCCGGATGCCAATCCGTTGAGCTATTGTGTCTGGAGTATTTTGGAAAGCAAGGATGGCACTAAAAAATACCAAAGTTTCGATCACCTCAAGCAAGCGCTTCACCGGGAATGGGCCAAAATACCGCAGAGTAAAATTCGGGCAGCGTGTGACGGTTTCATTGGCCGTTTGAAGGCCATAGTTCGTGCCAAAGGTGACCAAATTCGAACAAATGTAAATATATTCTAAAATTAGATGCTATCCGACAATTTTTGCTTTCATTCGAAAAAAAAATAATAATAAATAAATAAATTAATGAATAAAAAATAAATAAGTAAAATAATATGTAAAAATTATGGCTTTTTACTTTGTTGCAGTTTTTTTTTTATCTGACCCTGTATATCGAAGAAAGAACAATTTAATTTTTAGTGGCAAACACAATCAACTCCATAGTTCGGTCCTTGCGGATGAGAAAGCAACCAACACTTTTGTTGAATTTACATTTTTTCTTACTTTGTACGCATACACACACATTTATACACGCACACTTGTTTACTTTCCCCCACAACTACGACTGTTCGTTTCATTTGATTCAGTTACCAATATTTCATAGAGATGTGGTATAAACTTCTATCTGAGATAGGCTATTGGGAATATGAAAATCCCAAATCCAATTTGAGCTAAAAACCATCGCACTTGTAAATGTATTGTCTAAGGTCGTAAAAGTTTATCGATACCCCACATTTTATATACCCAATAAATATTGAGAAACATGTGTAATAGAATGGGTAGCAATTCTGTTTGTTATAATGCAAAATAATAACAATACATACAATTTTTAATTTTGTATTTTTTTTCTTACAGGTGCACATTTTGGAAATCCAAATAAATTGCATGTAAGTTTTTATTTTAAAATTTACAATCGGAAAACTAATAAAAATTGCCTAGTGGATACGACCCATGCTAATGTAAACTCTTCAATAATCTCCTTTGAATGCGTCAGTCTGTAGGATTATTTATGTCATGCAGTAGTATCTTTTATGTAAAATTTGGGACACATAAGGCGTTATGGCTACTGGATATAAACGTTTTTTCTCTCTTCGAAATAGACTTGACTAACTCTACGGCGGTGAGGGAGAGGAGTCACAAATCCTTAATTGAGTGTGCAAAAGTTGTGTGTATAGGATTTTATACCGGAATTTTTGTTTCGTACTTTTGGTTTTAACATCTTCAACTTGCTTTTCTTTACAAATATTCGGAATTTATTTGGTTTTAACCAATTCTACATAAAGGTAGGGTAAAAACAGAAAACATTTAAACTCAGTAGATGTTTCCATACGTTTGTATTTTTTTGGTAGGAAAAGGAAGCAAAAGAAAACCGATATTAAATTTAAATAAAAACAAGTTAAAAAGTAGCTGTTAGTTTTGCTTCTTTTCGACTTATGATTATTCAAACTGTTGACCCTTTATAGGGGAGGTTCCAACGGAGTGGCCAATGATGTTCATTTCGTATCTGATATAAATGTGCAATTTTTGGACTATATCGACTTCTTCATTCACCTTTACATGGGAAATGTAATAATTTTTGGAAAATTAAAAAATGTGCGTGAGGTACCATGTATAGTGATCTGAAATATTCCAATTCATCTAAAACTGGTATCCGGAGAATTCAAGCGTGATAGCGTGATGTCTTTATATTTGGCTGGATAACCGCTAGTGACTATCCTTAGAAAACTCCAGACTTTAAATGTGAATAAATCTTTTGTGTCTCGTATCATCTCATCTCTTTACCGTAATACTGGTAGCGTAGCCCAACGTCAAGGAAGTGGAAGAAAAAAAAAACAGAAACGTCAGCAGAAATGATTCGAAGAGTAAAGAAGCGACTTGATCGATAACCGCGTCGCAGTGGCCGAATAATGGCTCGTGAGCTGAACATATGGCAATATTCCATTCGGCAAATATTGAAAAATGAGAACTTACACCGCAACAGAAAGAAAATAGACTTAAAAGAGCGAAGGAGTTGCTTCGCTTGGCTTTCTCCGATGAGAAAACATTCGTTGTCCAGCAGTTTGTAAACAAACAAAATGATCGTGTTTACTTGACAAAGAGGTCAGCTAAAAATGTGCACCTTCGGTTGGCCACCAGAACTCCGGCCATATTGATAAATTCGAACAAATCTATACTTTTTCTAAAAATTGATACTATTTACGACATTTTTTTTTCTTTCATTCAATGAAATTTAAAAAAAAAAACAAGTAAGCAAAGGCTATAGTCGAGAGGGGCCGACCATGTGATACCCTATAACACTACAATATGTTCGAAGTCCCCTTATATCCAAATCCATTTTGGAAGATTTCGTTTTTGAAATAATGTCAAAGAGCCCCGCCCAGAGGTTACCTTTAGTTTTTTGACCCGGAGAATTTGACCAATATTTTCACACTCCATAGCATTGTTAAGTATTCAAAACAATTTCACACGAAAGTTGTGGTCCATATTACAGCTAAATATAATCCAATAGTCATCCAATATGCTAGACTTCTTTCCTGTCCTTAACTATCTTCTGATGCGAAATTCAGTGTCGACTAGTTTTTAATTGTGGCCTATAAATTTAGAAAACGTACAATTCAAAATTTTAAGTCAAATTAAAAAAATAATATGCGATAAAAAATATAACAAAAATTTAAAAATTCGACAAAAGATACTAACTTTTTTTATTGGTATATTTTTCCTCGATTTTCTTAGATTTTATCGTTTTCTGGCAAGAGACCATTCCGAATTGATGTGAATTGTGAAAATCTGCCCAGCGGTTCTTGATTTATAAGCAGCATAAATAATATTTAGGCGTTGAAATGAACAAAAACAGAAAAAAATTCTGATTTTGCAGTTGCTCTATAAGCCACAATTATGAACCAATCGACGCGAAAATTTACATGGAGTTAGAGTTTTGGACTGGGCAGATCCCTACCAATTAGTAAGAAAATAGGAAAATTTCCACTAAACCGCGAATGTTTTTAATCCCAACCACATCACAAATACATTAAAAGGTCACTTCTGGTCATTAGAGTGATGCTGATAGCCAAGAAATCGGATTTATAGCAAAATAGGTTCAGTATATATATAAAAGAATAGATCTTATTTATTCTGCTTATAAATCAATTCATTCACAGTACCCGTTAATTCGGAAAGGTCTCTTGCAAGAAAAGGATAAAATCTAAAAAAATCGCGGAAAATATACCAATAAAAAAGTGCTTCATTTTTTTCAATCTTTGTCATATGTTTTATCGCATGCGATTTTTTCAATTTGACTTACAATTTTGAATTGTGAATTTTCTAAATTTTTACTCCCCGCAACACTACGTTTTAAGGGCATTGTATGCCCAGGCATGACTAAAAAATTAAAATTTTCTAATTTTGAAGGCGCTCTATAGGCCACAATTGAAAACTAATCGACACGGAATTTCGCATCAGAAGAGATTTGAGGACAGGGACATTATTTCACAAACGGCATCTTCCAAAATAGGCTTGGACATAAGGGGACTTCGAACATATTATAATGTTGTAGGGTATTACATGGTCGGCCCCGGACGACTATAGCCTTTGCTTATTTGTTTGTTTTTAAGTTTTAGTACAACAGCTTTCTATTTGAAACGTATGGCACGCAAAGATCCAATATGCATAAATGTTGTCTGTTTATTGAAGTAAAAATGTGTAAAATTTTGGAAATATGTGGAAAATATTTTGGTGAGGACATAGGTTACCTAATTAAAGGCCATGTTCCACCAAAATATACAATTATGGTTATTTCTAGTGGCGAATATACCTTTCCAGCATGAAAAATGGAAAATAGAGCCTTGCCATTGCAACACCTAATTTTCGGTATCTAAAATAAATCTTTTTAAAAAATTATGATAAATAAACGAAAGAAATGTATTGAACATTTATGTCTATCTAATTAAGTTTTAATTTATTCAATAAAATAATTACCAAAAATATTTATTACCCTCGAATTGTGTCTTTTAATTTGAAATATATGTTAGATTTCCGAACAACTGTTGTCCATATTAAACAGTGATTAATGAGAAATGCCCTCAATATTTATTGACGGCCATTAAAGGCAAATGAAGTAAATTAAAATACGTGATAGATTCCTACCAAATTAAGGATTTTTATATGCCACTTAATTTTTGTTTTTGGTGGGGTTTGTGGTGGTAGTTGTAGTTGATGTTTTTCTTACGTGAAAATTACAACAGCAATAAATGTTATTTTTCATTAATTGTTGTTATTGAATGAATGGAAAAAATGTAATGAAACATTAATGACTTTATGATAATTGCAGTTGGTAAGTAGTAGGCGGCGGAGCGTATACGTAATTTGATGTGTAAATACTTGAGGGACAGAGAGAATGTCAATGTTTTTCTTTCATTACGATGGGCGACAAGAACAAAAATAAACATGTTTTAATTAACTTAAATTTTTTTACTGTTCAACAATACCAACAAAATTACAGCTACGTGTCTTCCTTCCTACGGTGATAAGCATCGCCGTTAAAGCCGGCAAAAGAAATTTCGGTTTTGCTGTGTAATAAATTAAATTATTGCTCATACGCACGGCGTACCTCTCTACCAAAACATGGCTGAAATGGGCTAATTAAAACAATTAGTCAATTTCAATTGGAAATATTGAGGCCACCAAAACATTTGCGTGTGTAATTCGAAACAAATAATAATTATAGCCTCAATGATGACGTTAGATAACTACCAATTTGGACGTCATGACAATAACAAATGTATTTGTTGGAGTTTATGTTGGCCAAACAAAACATCATCAACATCATCAACAACATCATCCAAATTTGCAATCAAACACTAAATAAAAGCCCCTTCTACATTGGTAACATTTTTACATTAATTTAAGTATCATTGGGTGATAAAACAATTTAATGGCTTGGTGCATTAGAGACAGGTGTTACCAACATGAAATAAAAAGGCCTCATGGACGTTAATCTGTGTAAAGTGCTTTGAGATCCACAATATGGGCGGCAAATACAAAAACATGAAAATTTAACAACCAGAACAATATAGGATTAAAATACTTGGATAATTACAGGTGAAGCGGAAGTGGTTTCCAAAAAGTACAGTATGATACATTTTGGAATAATAACTTACAAGTTTAAACACAACAAGTAAAAAAGCAGTAAGTTCGGCCGGGCCGAACTTTGAATACCCTCCACCATTTGGAACGAAACAGAAAATTTTCAAAAAAAAAAAAAAAAAAAAAAAAAAAATAAATAAATAAATAAAATAAATAAATAAAATTCTTTTAAAATCTTAAAAATAACGAATATTGGAAGGTGACGATAAATGGGGGATATACGATATTGTGGAAATCTATTTCTGGGTATAGAAAAATCTATTTCTGTGGGTAAAGTACTCACACGGAACTCCTTGTGTGCAATTTCAGACAATTCCGTTGAAAAATGTGTCATATGGGGGCTATACGACATCGTGGACCTATATAGACCATTCTCTTTCAGGAGGTAAAGTACTCACAAGGAACTCCTTCTGTAAAATTGCAGACAATTCCGTCGAAAAATGTAGCTAAAATCATCCTAATACCAAATATATATGGAGGTACTGTTATATGAAGGATATACGATATCGTGGACCTATATAGAGAATTATATTTCAGGGGGTAAAGTTCTCACAAAGAACTCTTTGTGTAGAATTTCAGACAAATCCATTGAAAAATGTGGCTAAAATCATCCAAATACCGAATATATGGAGGTACCGTAATATGGGGGATATACGATATGGTGGACTTATATAGACAAATCTATTTCAGGGGGCCAAAAAGGAGTTCACAAAAAGAACTTCTTTTTGGCCACAACACAAAATGT